ATATATATAATTATTTATATATTATATGCGCGGTACTTATTAGAAAGCGCTCAATATCAGAGATAGAGCGCTTGATATATATTTTGAACTGATTAAAAATCTTAATAGTCTTGAGTCATGCAACATTTTTTTTAACCATATTTGTTTGTCTGACAATCGCTAAAGCGTGAAACCCAGGGTCACAAACTCACATCTATACAACCAAATATATATATATATATATATATATATATATATACATATATATATATATATATATATATATATATATATATATATATATATATATATATATATATTCGTGTGCGTGAGTACAACTATATGTATGCGCGTGTTCGTGTTTGTGTGAGTGTATACATGGGATTTAGTAATATCTTTATCGTTTCATCTAACTTGGTTAAAATAGCTGACAATTCTTTGCAGTCAAAATAAACTTATATAAGCCAGATTTCAGGACAGGATTTTGAAAAACGGATGATATTTATCACGCCATTCCATTTATATGGACTCTTTGAAAAAGACTACAATGCAGAAGGCAAGAATTCTTAACTGACATATGTGCATTCCACATAAAAATAAATTTGCACAAATGGAATTCCGTCGGTTCTCGGAAAACTGTAGTAGCATCATCTTTTCAACCAATCACGTTTGACCCTGTGGCAAACTAGGCTTATCATTAGTATTCACTTAGGAACGCCTGGCGACATATCTCACAAGAATGTTCTTTGTTTTCGAAACGACTAACATGATATCTCTAGCGAAATTGATTTGATTCTGGAACGGCTGACAAAATGTCTAGCAAGAAATAACTTTGTTTCCAGAAAGGCTAACAAGAGATCTCGCTAAAAAAAATATGTTTTGGAACTGGCTGGTAAGATATTTTGTCTGCCTAACATCTGACATATTTCGTGAGAAATTACTTTGTTTTCGGAATAGCGAAAAAGGAGTCCTCACTAAAAAAATGTAAGGCAACATATTTCGCGAAAAATTTCTTTGTTTCTAGCATTACTGACAAGATATTTCGTGAGAAATTGCTTTGCTTCCAGAACGGCTAAGAGGAGATCTCGTTAAAAAAAAAAAAAAGTCTGTTTTGGGACCGTTTGACAAGATATGTTGCGAGAAATTTCTTTGTTTCCAGAACGCCCAACAAAATACAAAATATCTTTAGAGAAATTTCCGTGTTTGGGGAACAAGAGCGGTTTGTTTGTCTAGTTTCTGTGTTCACTGTTAGGAGAAAAAATAATTGTATAGCTGTTAAAAATAACTTAAATGTGACATAGATTAATAGAAAGGAAATTCACTGTGACGCGATGTCTGGCATTATCCCGCTTTTTTATCGTTTGCTGACTTTAACTAGTCCGGCTGGGAATTTTTGCGGAAGGAGATCGTACAATGGAATTCCAGTCGCACCAGAAACACAGCGTTACTCTTTTTTGGATTTTGGAGTTGTTAATAGTTACTCATTTCATATTTCTCCGCATTTCTTTCGCTCCATAATGTTGTAAACACTTCATTTTTCATCGCTTCTGAGAGTTATATTAAAAAATACGCCTTTTTTTTCTCCAAATAGCAGGTGGAAATGCAGTTCATTAAATCTTATTTCCGTTTAATTGTGAAGCATCCAAACATTCATGTATCCAAGTATTACCAATGCATTACAGCACTGATATTATATATAGAGAGTATATCTGTAATGTCCCGTGTCATGTAGCTTAGATGTGACACAAGACCGAAAGTAGGGATCACCCAGTGAGTAGCGAACTCACTACACAGTCGTAATTGAAAAACTTGCTAACCATTACATCATGTTGAATCGTCCAATGTCTTGAGTCATGCAACATTTTTTTTAACCATATGTGACTTTTATTTTTAATTAGCATTTCAATTCGGTTATCATCAGCGATTGTATAACTGCTTGAACGTTCTAGATTTCCAGATCAATATTTCGAATACTGAACCTACCGAATTAGTGATGAACTATACTCATGGCTATGGCACCATTTTCATAAACGGCACATAATTTCTTTGCTGTTTGAATAGAGAATCAGTTAACGAAAATGCATTCCATTTTTATCTGTCTTCCTTTTTAACTTAAAGGCATTTTAAAATATACAATTTATAAACGAATCGTAGAGGAGACATTGAAATGCCAACCTTAAGAATATAAATATTCTAAATTTCAAGAATTTTCTTTCGACCCAATAATAATAATAATAATAATAATAACGTAGCTAAGAATTCATTTGTTTCTTTGGTATATTGTATTTTTTTCATATGTCGATATCAAGGTTACAGATAATGAATAGTGGATTCAAGCTTTACGCATAAAATTTTAGATAAATACATTTCCAAAATTATCAGTTCGCAAGTTGTTAATAATGGCTTACGGCCATATCACATTGAAACACTAATTTCCATGTGATCACCGAAGTTAAGCAACATCCAAATTGGTTAGTACGTACTTAGATGGGTGACCACTTGGGAATACCAGGTGCTGTAAACTTTGGATGTGTAATGGATAAAAGCTCAGAATTAGAATTTGGAGAGCCGAGTTCGTTATATTCCATTATGCACAAATACCATTGCGAAAGGTATGAGTGAATCTCTGTTCCCCCACACCTATGGGTTAACCAGTGGGAACACTAAATCTTTATTATCTCCAGTAAATTCTATTTTCTGGATTTCGATAACCTGCAAAAGGTTCATAAGTCGTAAAATTGAATCATTTTTTTAAAAAAATAAACAAAGATTTCGTATAAAAGAGCCAAGAAATAGAATCAATAAATTAAATCATTCTCAATGAAAATAAACAAAGATTTCTCATAAAAGAAAATAGAATCAAAAGATTCTCAATGAAAATAAACAAAATTTCGTAAAAGAAAGAAATAGAATCAATAAATTAAATCATTCTCAATGAAAATAAACAAAGATTTCGCATAAAAGAGCCAAGAAATAGAATCAATAAATTAAATCATTCTCAATGAAAATAAACAAAGATTTCGTATAAAAGAGCCAAGAAATAGAATCAATAAATTGTTTGTAAAATAAGAAAGAGCATATTTAAAAGTGAATTATAAATTTAACAAGAAGCAAGGATAATATATAAAAAAGATAAAAATGTTTACCGATAGAAACAATAAAAACATAAAAAAAAACAAAATACATTATTTATTTATTTATTTCATTAATGTTTGCATTTGGGAATCGAGCGAAACTAGGAGGAAAATGAGTGACGTGGGAAAAGTTGAACATAAATGAAAAAAATATCAGGCGAAATAAAAAGACTGGGAAAACTTAAATAATCATCCATCAGATTTATTAACTGAAGCAAAGCAAAGAAAGAATTTTCCTTTCTTTTTTTGCCCTCTCACTGGGTAAGAGAATGAGGAAAATGGCCGCAATGTTAGACAAAGCAGAGGATTGCCACCCACAAAGAGTTTGGGTTACTTCCGGATTCAGGTGTCTTGGGGGACGCACGCAAACATTTACTTACACGCATTTTCTTATGTGTTTACAGGTACATCTCGCTTTTACGCGGGCTTACATACACACACGGATAAAAATGTCCGCATGAAAGGGGATGCAGAAAATTTGGAGGGTTGGGGCTTGAATTATTTTCCAAAATTAGATCGAATTAACAACCATCAAAATCACATCTTGGTCTGGCCGAGAACATTTCAGAAACACATCGAAGATGTATTTGACGAATGTTGCTTCTATATGTGAAAAAATGGATTCTATTTTTAAACAAAACTCGAAGATTATCGAATGTGAATCAAAAACTGTATGCTAGCAAGTGCTATTGTGGAGGAAATCAGGTAAGGCAAAGACATATTTCATTTGCGCTTTCTTAAGTGCGATACTAGCCCAGCCTGGCTGCGGACGACAAAAGCTACGCTGCCAGATGAAATTTGTTAAAGAAATTTTGATGGCGCCTCTGCTTCAGAGCTTGACGAAGCTGATCACGGTGCTTCAATCTACGGTCTTCAAAAACCTATAACTATATATATATATATATATATATATATATATATATAGATATTCTACTCTGTCGCTATATATATATATCTATATATATATATAAATATATATATATATATACGTCCTAAATTATATATATATCTATATATATATATCTATATATGAATTCAGTCGCTTAATATTCGTTTTCCGATCTATACCGTGATAATGAATTAAAAGCGTTTCAGACTGATAGCAAAAACAGTCCATTTTCGATCCCGTCTTGAGGCAATCGGATGTCTACCCACACTGACGAACAGCGAAATAGCCTGTTTCCACATGACTATATATATATATATATTGTATCTTTTCTTTATAATTCTTACTCCATGTAGAAAGTTATATATTCTTCCAGTTTTTCTGTATTGAATTTAAGGTAAATCTTCGTCTTATTTTCAGGGAGTCGATATAAATGGTTTAACGTAAACATTCAGGACTGTAAATGTAATTAATACTGTTTAATTGAAAACAGAGCATTTAATTCAATAAATTGTATCTATAAAAATAACGTATAAACAGAAAATATATAAAATAATTTTTGGACTTAATCCATTTCATTATATGTTATCATTGTTAACGTTAAATTACGTTTCGTGAGCAGATATGATCGATCGAGAAAAATCGTGTAATATTGTGATTATAAACAGTAATTTGGACGTTGCTATCTAGATGCTTCTCTGTAGCTAAATGGTCTAGTACGTCAGGTCAAATGACAGTTTCCGTATAGGAGTACAGGTTCGATTCCTATCGAAGAACACGAAATTTCTCGAACAGTAAATGTAATTAATATCGTTTAATTAAAAACAGAGCATTTACTGAAATGAATTATATCTATAAAAATAACACACATATGTAAGATAAAATCTTTTATATATTATGTTGGGTCATGAATAATTACCGTTTTTGTTTAACAAATTTATTCTTCGAAAAATAAACTACAAATAAATTTTACTCAATTATATATCCACTATCATCTGTAATGACTTGTTGTCACGTATCAAGGTAGCACTTTGATACCTGTTCAGTAAAATTCCGCAGGTTTTGATATGAAACGCTTTCAATTAACTTTTGAATCTGTTTTTCATTAGAGAAAGTTTTCCCCATCAAAGCTTTTAATAATCGGGTAATAATAGGTTGATGCAGGGTCCAACGAATATGACAGCTTGGGTAGAACAGACCAACCTAGATACAAAATTTTACAGCGTTATTCTGGTTTTGTGCTGTCTTGCATTGTCATAGAGGAGAACAATCTTCTTCATTTCATCCACTGTGTACGCTCCCACTACTGTACAGAAACTAAAGTATGTTAGTACACTTCAAATTTATTCTTAATTGCCATGTATGATAAGTCAGGACGATACATTTTCCTTACAATTGGTTCACAAAATTTACTTATGAGTCAATCTAATATTTTAGTAATTTTGAAAACTAATGCGATAGAATAGTATATATTTCAATTCAAACAATAACAACATTATATTAAATAAGCAAACTAAAAAACATGATTACAAATAACATAACTGGAAAGAACCGGTTTACACTTTCTTCCACTTTGTACAATCCCTCAGTGATCTATATATAAAGCCCAAACAAGGAGTAATGATACATGGCTTGAAGATCGCTCGAGACATAGCTATAAACACCCTCTCTCTTCGATATTAAGCACGCTTTCATAAATATAGCAAAGTTCAAAATTATACCAAACTTCAACATATATATATATATATATATATATATATATATAAGCATTTGAACCCAAGCAAGGCGGGAGTGCCACTAGTACCCAATGAGTTACAGAGGGTAGAGAACAAGAGGAAAATACTTATAGACGAAACAGAGGGAAGCCACGGTACGTCTGTGTGAAAGCGACTATAGACTAGATGCCAGATCAGAACCTATCACATTGTATATCCGTCTCTGGATTTTGTCGAGGACCTTGAGACTTACAGCGGGGACACCAGACTATATATGACGGCAATATTCCATGCAAGGACAATGTTAAAGTATAGTTTTAAGGTATGCTATATTTATCGGTTAAAGTGGCCAGTATCAGGGATAGAACGCAAGTAAATATAAAAGTGGATATTGAAGTCAGCTCTGACGATTGCGTATAAGCATGAAACATACTGTTGCCGCTGGGTGTTGAGTTCAAATCCACTTTATATATATATATATATATATATATATATATATATATATATATATATATATATATATATATATATCCTCAAAATAACAACACACCAGCTAAGTCAAAATTACAAAGAACGAACATTATCTATGAGTTCAAATGCCCTTAAGGAACTGTGTTCCTGATCAAACCGGACTCATAAATAATTACATTGGTTACACAACCACATGCTTATCCAGACGTCTTATGTTACACCTATCTGATCACAGCTCCATTAGAACCCATTTAAACCCAAACACAAATTTACCAAACTCCATTACTAGTAGAAAACACAAATATATTAACTGCATCCACCTGCAAAAAAGACTAAAAATAATGGAAGCTTTAATAATAAAAAAGAAAAAGCCAACTCTTAACAATATTAACTACGAACAAAGCCACAATGTGCTAACCGTATTCGGAAATTAAAAACATCCCTACGACACACTCACATACACACATACACAGAACGCACACACTCAATTAAGCTGAAAAATCGAATCATCCTTGATAATGGCTAAAGTTATAGCCGAAAGCGCTCGGAAATATTAAACATTTGGACAGTTCTTACACACCCTTTGTCCAGAAAAGAAAGCTCTTGTTAGAACACAAGAAAAATTAAACAAAAAGCTTAACTATAGTACCTTGTCTGTTGTTTTTAATGAAACATGCATATATATATATATATATATATATATATATATATATATATATATATATATATATATATATATATATAATAAAATATATATATAGTTCACAGTAATTTCATAAAGTATATCTTCCATGTACTGTATCCCTTCAGGACGTTGGCGATCAAAGTTCTCCACAATTTCCTGTTCTTTACAGCCCTTAGTAAATTTTGTCTTTCTGTTATCTCTCCTGAACCTTGTTCTGCCATCCATTTACACGAACTCTTTAGGTAACTTATCTGCCTTTTTCCGTTGTCCTTCTTGCTGTCCATATGTCATATGAATGTCAAATTTTCCAAGCCCTCTTTCCTCATTATGTGTCCTAGAAATTCCAACTGTCTCTTTCAGATGTTAAGTATAAAATTTTTAAATGTGAACAACAGTTGAATTCAATCTTGTAGATTATCTGGATACTATACTTCCATTTTTTTCACGGGGTACTATGATTTTTAATTGGCGGTGCGCATCTCTTTCAGTACAAGTTGTACAGGGTTACAATTGCAGGGATAGTTCCTGACCTCAGCTATAGGGTGATTTCGGTTCTTGTTCAGCCCAAAGTCATAAAAATGAAGTAAACAAATTATTTCAATTGGAATTTAAACTATCCAATTTCATTTC